TCATTCAACAAATACACATCACCCAGCAAAGTATTTATTTACATTTTTGCCCAAGCACTTACAATCATCACGTATCTGAACAGCTCCAACTCTCTCAGCTCGGCTTCCCTGAACTTCCTGTCCAGTACAAGAACACAGAGCAGACTACAGCAGCTGTCCATCTACTACATGGAGGAGGGAGGGGGGCAGGAAGCAGGAGAGTGTCTTGCCTTGCTGTGTTTGTGGAGAGACGCAGCTCACTAGCACACACAAGGGCGGCTCTATAGGACACTGTAAGGGAAAGGAGAAAAACAGGATATCAGGGCCGGTGCTCAGGGTGCTGATTCTGACCATAAAATGATAGTAACAATATGTCCATATGCGGGGTGTAGAGGAGGGGTCATATGCTGAACAATATGGCAGTAACTAGATATCATATAGCGCCCACTCTTTACATAGTTGCACATTCACATCAGTCCCCGCCCTCGAGGAGCTTACAATCTAATATGCATACATAGAAGCGCCAATGAATAGCATGTCTTTGGAGTTTGGAGAGCAAACCCACACAGGAACATGCAAACTCCATGCAGATAGTGACCTGGCTGGGATTTGAGCTGAGGACCCCCCAGTGCTGCAATGCAGAGGCGTTGACCACTAGGCCCCTGCGCTGCCCAGCATTACATACCAGGATGTGGTTCTGAAAACAGACAACTAAACCTAGCGTAAGTATCACCAGGACAGGAAGTGAGGGGAAGTCCAACCCCTTGGGCACAGGGCAATAACACCTGACGGGGGTTCTAACCCATCCCCCACTCCATCCAAAATACAATAACACGTTTTGTCTGTGGTTAGGATTCAAAGCAGATCCTCTGGGCAGAAGTAAGAGACGGAATTTAGCGCAGCTCTGTAATCCTGAATGGATCCTTAGATGTATATTTAAAATGCAAGCGAATGTGATCTGTTATCAGCCTCTTGCAGTCCCCGTACAGCAGGGCTGGAGTGCGGGAGGAAGAAGCAGCACAAGGAGCCAATCGGTTCATGTGCTGATAAGAACCACACTGGTAGAGCTGTGACGGTTCTCATTCCTCCGGGTCACGGCATATCTGTAAAAAAATTAATCAAGGCAACCGGACTTGCTTGTATATTCCTTGAAGACGTTTTGCTGGTCATCCGACCGGCTTTCTCAGTTCAGAATTGACTAGTTCAAGATTGGGAAAGCTGGTCAGATGACCAGCAAAACGTCTTCAAGAAAAATACAAGCAAGTCCGGTTGCCTTGCTTTATTTATTTTTACAGATACACACTGATAGAAGAGAGCTGTCCAGTCACAGGCTGGGGGCGGATCCAGGACAGCCTTGTGAGTGGGTTGAATGATGCTCGCCATTAGACACCTAGTGGCAGAAAAGAGTACTGCAGAGGGAATCACCGGACTGCAGGTGAATATTGCTGGTTTTGGCGTTTTATCTTGTGCTGGTCACGCCATTTATACTTTGTTATTTCTGGCTAGAGATCTGCTTTGGGATTTCAAGACTTCCTTAATTTTCTGCCCACAGACCTGATGACGCGGACCGAATACCAGCGTGGCGTTCACGACCCACAGCTTGTCGGCATCAGCATGCCCGGTGTGGCTCCGCAGTCCGAGCGCTCCGAAGCAGATAAAGGTGGAGGCCGTGAAGTGAACGGCAGGTGCTCCGGAGCGGCCCAGCCGATCAAGCCTCGGCAAGTGCTGGCGTACCTTCCACGGCCCCCTACGGACACCAGCCGTTACCGTAGCTTCCCACAGAAGGTAAGCATGGAGACTAGGGATGCGCCGATACCGATACTAGTATTGGTGCCGATACCGAGTATTTGGGTGAGTACTCGTACTGGCCCAAACACTCCGATACCTTCCCTGAAACCGAAACTTCCGGTCAGATGAAGATTTCCTCTGACCGGCAGTGCCGTAGGGGAAACATGGAGCCGGCTTCCCGTGCGATCAGGAAGCTGGGCGGCGAGTAATGACCCGCCTCCCGGCTTCCTAATTGGCCAGCAAGCCAT